ATTAAGTTGTTTTCATGTCCGGAGTTCGTAAAGATTCGTGTCCAGGAGATCGTAATAGAATACAGGGAGATCGAAATGATTTTACATGATGTTCGGAATACAGTTTTTCTTGTATATCTGATATAACACCGAGAGATCGTGATGAACAATGTCAGATGTTCGGAATAATGGATTTTATAAAAAAAAACCGGATGATCGAAATAACATTGACAGAAACATCGTAAAAAAGATACACTGGGAGATTATAACGGATATAAAGACTTTTATTTCTGTTTTTCTATACAGGAATAGCGTTCATATACTTAGCACATTCATAATTATATTGGGAGACATTTTTCTTTCTCTATTGTTGTTCTCTATACTTTAGTAACTATAAAAATTGTTTCTAACTTTCGTCTATTAATGTAATCATACAATTGATAGATGGCAGTATCTTCTGTACAAATGAAACTTGATATAGTGTATGTGCGAAAGTCTTTTCGTTCAGATATGATTGGCTATACAAGCGGTTCAGTATTGAATATAAACCAAGCTAACTTCTCATAGAGACGTGAAGATTACAGACTGTAAAAATATTCTATCATTAAGAAGAAAGTGTACTTTTCTATTTTTTCTTATTTCTAGATAAGAGTTCATATGAATAGAATCTTTTTCCTTGTTTGAATCTACATTTACTTTCATTTAAAATATTTCTAATGATTATCACTCGTAGTCAAAGTTCGGTTGTTGCATCAACAGCAGCAGCAGCTTTCCAGTCTACATGTAAAATAAACAAACAACCAGAATCATCAACGCGTAGTCGTTCAGTTAATAAAGCATCAAAAAGAGCACCATCTCCTTCATCTCCTAATCCTATTCATCGATCTCGTTCAAAATTATCTAAGAAAAGCATAAGTAATAATAATGCCAGTGCTACTATATCATTTACATAAGTATTCTTCTATGCTTTCGTCCACTCTTTTCCAATAGAAAATGGTCAAAATGATTTGTTTGCTTATTTTTCTATTTTTTGCAGTTAGAGAAAGAAAAACTGATGATGTTTATTCACACTAGACTTATGAATAAAAATTTCTTTCTTTTCTTTACAAATACTTCATATTCGTAAGCGAAAACGTGTAAGGAATGAGTGAGACTAATTAACACGAGAATTACAATGGTAAAAAGAATAGCAATCTTGACTGCTTGAGTTCATCAAGACGTTCTTTATCTACCATCTTAGACTGTAAGACAAACGTGTCACTTCACACTCTCTCAAAAGTGAATCTCAACACGATTACGAACATCCGACCCTTTTGATTCCGAACATCCTGTAGTTTTTATTACGGCCTTCATGTATTTGTCATTACGAACTCCTGCACATTTTCATTCCGATCTCCCGGTAAAATTTCGCTGCTTTTTCACCAAAAAAACGTCATTACGAACTCCTGACGACATGTCATTAGGAACAACCTGTTTTTTGTTATATTTTATCGACTTTTTCATTACGAACTTCATTCCGAACACCCTGTCTTTTTTCTTATGTCCGAAGATCGTAACGGACTGCTTCACCTGGAGTTCGTAATAAAAACTTGAGACGAAAGCTCCCTTTCTCGTAATATGCGTACATCTGATTGTGCCTATCGTTATCGTGTTGAGATTCACTTTTGAGAGAGTGTGAAGTGACACGTTTGTCTTACAGTCTAAGATGGTAGATAAAGAACGTCTTGATGAACTCAAGCAGTCAAGATTGCTATTCTTTTTACCATTGTAATTCTCGTGTTAATTAGTCTCACTCATTCCTTACACGTTTTCGNATCTTTATTTTATCTGAGACATCCAACAGATGTATCACTAACATATTAAAATGAGCTCAAAGAAAATTCATTATTCTAAGATACACATGTATTAGTTTTATGAAGTCACGTCGCTAACGAATGATTTTGTTCAAAAATATATTTATATTATCTATACTATTTTTCTATAACAGCTATTAAAAATGGTCTCGCATCGCCACTTAAACGCTTCGATAAATGGCATGCTTATCAATTTCATTAGGTTTCCCCAAGTGATTCTCGCTCGGTCGGATCCTGTCGGATTCAAATAATTGCGTCTGTATCCTGTCGGATTTTTGTCGGAATCCCATGGGCCGGATTCCGTCTGTCGGATCTGATCGAACACGTGCAAAATCCAATAGGATTCTGTTGGATTTCATCAGTTTTTATCGGATTCCGACGAAATCCTGACCGGAATCCTGTGCAAGGATTGCTTGTCTTGGGTCATTAACAAAGGCTAAAGTACCTTTTTCTGATGAAATAATTACTTATGTTCTATGATTTATATTTGATATGAATTTTGTTCAACATGAATTCTATAATGGTATTCAACATTTAGTTTTTTCAAGATAAAAATTATGATCGTCGATTAGATGAATGACAATCATCTGTAATGCATGGACAAATATTAATTTTTTTCAAGCTATACATGTATGTGATGGAAAATCACTATTTGAATTAGGGTGTGGGTGGGTGTGAACATCGCATTTCCTTGCTCTCTTATCGCCCACATCGATACTCACACCTACACTGTTTAATTTTGACTAGAACTTGCTCGAGCAGGATGAAAATTTCAGATACGAATAGAGATTAATTCACATAGTCAAAAAAAATTAAAACTCAGTACAATTTCTTTTTATTCAACAATATTTCTTCATGTAGCTAAACAATTTTCGAGACAAAACATTTTAATCTATCCATCCATATTTGTATAACCACCTAGTTTTGATTGTCATTGTCAATACAGTAAATTAAAAAATAAATATCCAGTTGAATATCTTATTGATTTAAAAATAACCTGTTGAAAAGAATTAAAACAAATTGTTATGAATGATTTGAAAGATACTTAGTTTATTGAAACATGCAAACTTTATGCATGCGCATCAATGATTAGTGGAACTTACGATTGTAAAGACAAGTAAGCTGGAAAACAAGGTTCGTATAAAAAAAATTGGGAGCTTTTCGTTTGACAAAATGTCATTCAAAACTAGGTGGTTGTAAAAATATAGGTGATTAGATTAGCATGTTTTATCTTGTAAATTGTTCAGTTAAACGAAGAAATGTTGTTGAACAAAAACAAATATTCTACTCAGTTTTAATTGTTTTGACTATGTGAATTTATCTCCAGTCGCATTCTACTTTTGACTAGGCAAATTTTAAATTTATCTAGTCAACATTTTGTCTACAACATATATAGTGATTTTTCGGCGTTAAATTTTATTAAGATTATTATTTCCACTTCTGTTGGAAGAAAAATTTGACTTTTGAGATATAAGATTTTGTTACTTCTTGTTATCGTGCACATAAGCCTTAATTATGGGTGTAAGGATTTTTGTCATTAAAGTACACTTCCTGTACACTATCGTCTTCTGTCTATTCGCGTGTTCATAAACTGACCTTATGACCTTCCGTTTGTTGTTCTATTATGAGGCCATAACTTCTTTGTTTCTATTGACTGATGCATGATTACTCTCTGCTATATAGAACAGTGTTAACGAAGCAAATACACGACTCAAAATATATACATGATACTATAAACCATCACGTCGACGTGCATAAACGATCTTTACTAATCTTTTTGCATGTATTATTGTACGATATCTCAATAAGTTTTATAAATATATGAATGAAACGAAATAATTTGTTTTTTTTTTCTAGATAATATTAAACTTATCGATAATAGTTTCATCGAAGGACATTTCAAAAAGTAAAATTTTCCTAGGAAATCAAGTTGAAATTGCTCTTTTAAACTTCCGCAATGTAGTTTGATTTAAGTGCAGAAATGCTGAATATTACTTTTTAATAGCATCTTTTTTTTTCCATAAAACCTCTGATTGATTGGACCTAGTCATCTAAGCAGTGTACTATTTCGTGAATCAATGCAATAGTGTCTGCTACCATGCTAGTAAAATATGGTATTTTCATCATCGAACAGAATTTATCAATTTAAAGTTGAAACACGGTCGTAGGCGGATCATTTTGAAGGATCTATGCGTCTTCTATTCGTACACACCTCCTCTATGATATCCTTCTCATTCAACTACGTTCTGATAATCTACTATTAATGTCTTTTAATTTAGGCTTCGAGATTTTTCATGATCCACAACGAAATAACAGAACATAATTCTTCACATTATTTAATAAATTCAGCTTCAACAACAGTGATGATTGAATCTCATTCAGAATTGCTGACTAACAATGATATGGAACTAACCATGGGACAAATTAATGCAGCAAGTAACCAATTATCTAAGCATCCTGTACAATTTACACATGAAGATTTACGTACATATCTTGAACCAATTATTCACACTCTGATCTCTGCGGAAGAATCATGTGCATTTCGTCAACCGGTTGATCCTGTTGCACTTAATATACCTGATTATCCAATGATAATTAAACATCCTATGGATATATCAACCATGCATAATAAATTATTACGTGGAGAATATAAAAATCCATTAGAATTTTGTGATGATGCATGGCTTATGTTTAAAAATGCATGGCTTTATAATAATAGAGCATTGCGTATTTATAGAATGTGTACAAAACTTGCACAACTATTTGTTGAATCTATTGATCCTGTTTTAAAAACATTAGGTTATTGTTGTGCTCATCAATACGTATATTTACCAAAAGTTATTTTATGTAATGGAAAGCAAAAATGTTGTGAAATTCGACCTTATAGTTCTTATTATTATTATAACAATCCTGATCCATCACGATTTAATCTATCGAGTGATCAATATAAGTTTTGTACTGATTGTTTTCATTCAAGTAAATGTGAATCCATATTTGTCGGTGATGATCCAGCTCAAAAATTAGTTGAAATATCAAAAAAATTATTTCTACGAACTGAAAATAATGTACAAGAACCTGAAATAATGATTGATTGTATTGTTTGTACACGTCGTTGGCATCAAGTATGTGCATTACATTTAGATCAAATATGGTGTGAAGGTTTCGTATGTAAGACATGTATACGTCAATATAATATAAAACGTAAAGAAAATTGTTATATAGCACAAACAATAACAGTAACTGATTTATCATCACAATTAGAACATCGTGTTAATAAATTTTTATTTGATAAAGATTGTCATCAAAGTCGTGTTACAATTCGTGTAGTAGCTTCTAGTGATAAAATAAGTAAAATAAAACCGCAATTAAAAAAATATTATCCAAATCAAATGGCAAATGATGGTTATCCATATCGAACAAAAGCTATATTTGCTTTTCAAGAAATTGAAGGTATTGATGTTGTTTTCTTTGGTATGTATGTACAAGAATATGATGAACATTGTCCTGCGCCAAATACAAATCGTGTTTATATATCTTGTTTGGATACAATACATTTTTTTCAACCGAAACTTTATCGTCAAGATGTTTATCATGAAATTTTAATTGGTTATTTGAATTATGCCAAACAACATGGCTATATCTATGTTCATATGTGGGCTCGTCCAACAAGTGTAGTTGTTGATTATATATTTCATTGTCATCCATTTGAACAACGTTTACCGAATTCAAAACGCTTACACAGTTGGTGTAAAAAGCTGCTTGACAAAGCAATTATAGAACGTATTGTTATTGATTATAAGGTAAAAAAGTGTATATGAAATCTTTTCTAATTGAATGTACCTAGATCTAAAAACAAAATGTTTCTCTTTCAATGAAACTATCAGAGAAACTTAATTTCTTTTTGTTTTAAACAACATGTAAAATTGTATGACCTATTTTTTTGTTTGATTTAATTATTACATAAGAAATCTTCACATAAGAAAGTAAGAATTCAAAAACAAAAGTGATCCTCCCATAAATGCTGACTAAGATGCTTTTTTTCAAATATAGAATGAGAGCACACAAAGAATTATCGTTACTAATCTCTCGAAAATACTTAAGACTCAAATGTGATTAATTTAGGATATCATGCAAGATTGTTTGGATAATCAAATGCAAACAGTTCTTGATATTCCATATTTTGATGGTGATTTGTGGCCAACTATAATTGAAGAAACTATTGAAAGTATGTTTTATTATTGAGAATGAAAATTGAATCTTATTAAATTATATTTTAGAATTTAGTCAAGAAGAAGATCGAAGAAGACAAGAAGTTGAAGCAGCACCAGTTATAGAAGATGACGACTTCAATGATTCTTTTGAACTAGATGATTCAACACAAGTAAGTATAATCTACTTAGTAACCAAAATTAAAATCCATACAATCGTATGACTCGAATAAAATGAAAATCGAGTTCAACAGACTATTGCACTTTCGATTATAAAAATAAGCGTACAGATTATTCTATCAGATGAATCAATGTCTCTAATTGAATTTGAATATTTACTATTAAAATCTTGATTTTATCTACCGTATGAATTTATGACTGATGCAAAAGTCTTTGCACAAATGTCGTGGTCTATTGTATTTCAACAGAAAGTGCTAGGGGTCCAATTCTCTCATCATTAGAGAGACCAAAGTGTCTGTTTTCAAACGCACTTTTTCAAAAAAAAACTTTTGATATAGTTAAGGATTTTAAATTTTAATTTTTGAAAAACCACAAGAAAACACGACTTGTAAATATACGAAATTAGGAAATGTTACGATAACACACCTTTATGCAAGTTTCACAGTATTCCACTGTTCTACAAAAATTTAGTAGCTCCGTAGCTACGATTCAAAAAAGCGTAGTTCGATCCAAGATAGGCTGGCTAAGTTATAAATGAATTAAGTTATGACGAAATTGACGCCAAAGCGCTAGTTTATTCATTAGAAGTGTTTGGCTCTTTTTAGAAGATAAAAATGCTCATTCCCCGTTTTTCATACAAATTCTGAACGAACTTAAAAGGAAACATGTTTTGGACTAATTTAAAACTTTTGTCTTCCTAAAAACACCTGAATTGCACGCCAAAAACCGAAAGCTTCCGTGCTTTCGCTTAAAAGCCTGATTGTGGGTTACCATGAATAAGCACAAATCTCGGAGTGAGATTTTCAAAAAGTCTATACTTCAGACTTGAGTCATTGAAATTTTCAGCTCAGTATCTATTAATTCGACAAGAATAATGTTGTTTTAAATTTGTAAAAGCGCGAAAAAAGGATGAAAAAGTTACAAAGCGTTTTTAGTGGTTTTTGAAATTTGAAAACCTTAACTTCATCAAAAATTGTGTTTGAAAGCAGACACGTTGGTTTATCTGATGGTGAAAGAATTTAATGTCTAGGACTTTCTGTTGAAATACTACGGGTCTCGACATTTATGCCAAGATTTTTGCATCAGTCGTTATTTGCTTATTTTATTTAGATTTCTAGTAAACGTAAATTTGCAAATAAATATGAAAAGAAAAATTCGAAGAAAACAGGAAAACAACAAGAACTAGCAAAATCTCAAGTGTCAAATTCTACTGATTTACTATCTATAATATTTTCAACTATGGAAAAAAACAAAGAGGTAAAATAATAAAAAAACTTAATTGTTGATATATGTAATTCATATAATAAAGCCATGGTTGAAAATTTTGCACTACGTAATGAAGAAAATTCA